TGTTGCTTCATTTGCTCACTGCTCTTCCCTGTCCCTCTGTGGTTCTCGTGAGGCTGTCAATCCCAGACTACCACTATGTCCCTAGCTACAGGGATGAGGATGTGACCTTGGCCAATCAGATCATCTCATGTCCCTGGCAACAGCTGAGACATAACTGAAGAATCTTTGTCTATCACTGGAATACCAATTCTTTCTCCAGCTATATGGAGGAAGTCCTTTTCCAGTGGGAAAAGAGGCCAACCATCAGCAGGAAAGCAGAGCTCAAAGAGAAGGAAAAGAGAGTCTTGGTGACATTGTTTGAACCCCTAGCTCTACCTCTGCCTGAGCCCACAAATATCCTTTCTGTTTAAGCTAGTTTGAATTTTTTTGGTCACTTTCAAGTGGATAAATCCTGACATAATAACATGCTTAAATGTTAGAATGAAGTAATACTTTCAATTATGAAAAATAGAGACAAGTAAAAAGAAAATCCCCAAATCATTCCTAATCTTATTTTTAGTTATACAAAAAATGGTATAATACCATATATTATTATTATTATTATTATTATTTTTTGAGACAGTCTTGCTCTGTTGCCCAAGCTGGAGTGCAGTGGTATGATCTTGGCTCACTGCAACCTCCGCCTCCCAGGTTCAAGTGATTCTCCTGTCAGCCCCTAGAGTACCTGGGACTGCAGGCGTATGCCACCATGTCTGGCTAATTTTTGTATTTTTAGTAGAGATGGGGTTTCATCATGTTGGCCAGTCTGGTCTTGAACTCCTGACTTCAGGTGATCCGCCCACCTCGGCCTCCCAAAGTGCCCTTATATTTGTGTGTGTGTGTGTGTGTGTGTGTTGTGTTGGAGATTGTAAAATATGCCCACAAATTCCTTCATCCAGTATGCAATCCCTTTTGCAATGTGAATTTGCTGTTTCCCTTATGCAGAAGGGAGGTTTATTTCTCTTCCTTGACTCTTAGCCTTGTGATTTATTTGAACGGGAGAATGCAGCAGGAGATGTATATAACCTTGAGTTGCCAGTCCAGCCTTCTAGATGTGACCAAGACAGTCCAGCCAACAGCCCACCCCACTGCCAGGTATTTGAGGGAGGTGTACTAGTTCGTTTACAGGAATACCAGAGGCTGGGCAATTTATAAAGAAAACAGGTTTATTTAGCTCCTGGTTCTACAGGCTGTACAGGAAGCATGGTGCCAGCATCTGTTTCTGGTGAGGCCTCAGGGAGCTTCCAATCATGGTGGAAGGAGAAGAGGAGCTGTCATGTCACATGGAGAGAGAAAGGGAGCAAGGGAGAGAGGGGAGGACATGCCAGGCTCTTTTTGAACAACCACCTGTCATGCGAACCAATAGAGTGAGAACTCACTCATTACTGCAGAATGGCAGTAATGCATGAAGGATCTGCCCCATGACCCACACAGTTCCCACTAGGCCCCACCTCCAACATTGGGGATCAACTTCAACATCAAATTGGGAGGAGAGAATTATCCCAACTATATCAGAAGGTCATCTTGAACCCTTTAGCCCTGCTGTCTCTCCATCAGAATCCAACTGTGGAGGAACTTTCAGCTAACCCTCAGAATCATGAAAAATAATAACTCTTAGCTGTTTTAAACCACTAAGTTTTGGAATGAATTATGCAGCAAAAGCTGAGACGGATGGTGTCCTGCCATGTCTCATGGAACTACATGTAACCATTTCCCCACCTTATTCAATATTTATTAAGGTTACTTTGGTTGCAAACATCAGAAATCAACCCCAGCCAACTTAAACAAAAGGAAAATGCATTAGAATGTACCTAATGTAAGTTAAGGAACAGAAAATAAAGTTGGGAAGTGGAGAAATCAGGGCGTCCGCGGACTCATTAGCAGCATGGTATCCTGGAGCTGCCGTCCAAAAAATTGCCATTAACACAATCCCGCGCTAACGATAGTAACTTCAAGTTTTCAGAGCAGACGGTCTGACCGTCCCGTTTGGGTCAGTACCCACCTCTGAAACATTTAGCTACGATGAAGAGGGCGTCCGTGGTGGGAGGCAGGAGGCGGACATGCAGAAAGTAGGTGAAGTCGTGGGAGTGCCGATGCGGAAGCCATGAGAGCTGCTCATGGCCTGGGCCTGCTTTTTAACTGCTACTTTTTCCTTTCAAATCTCTTTGCAGCTAATGTATCAAGGTTTTTTTTTGTTTTGTTTTTTTTTTGTTTTTTTTGTTTTTTTAATAAAGGGAAAATAGTGCGGGGCCACTTTTGAAACTGTAACAAATGGGGCAACGTTGTATACTTCTGCACAACGTAAGTGAATCTGTCAAGGTTTTATGTGCAAACGGGTCTCTGAGCGAGTGAAATGGTTTTGATCAATATCTAAAAGAATCTGGGTGGTGTAGACATAAAAGGGAGTTAAAGCCGGAGTAACAGGTGTTGTGAACACAGGAGAGGAACGGGGAGGCTTCGAATGTGAACAGAGAGTGTCGACCTCGGCCGCGGCCTGGGGTGGGGGGGCTGCATCTCCGGAGAGAGGGGGCATCTCTTGCCCCTAACTGACGCCTCCTGCGGAGTGACATGTGCCTGGGGCAGCGTCTGCTAGGACTAGCGAGCGCGGGAACCTCGAATAAGTGGCCCAGGGACCTGGGCCCGGGTCCCTCGGACTGGGAGGCCCGCCCGCACCCCCGCGCCTCGCGCTCTGCACGGAAGCAGCCGTCCTCACGGAGCGGGCGGGGGGGCCGGGGGCCTGGAGCGCGGGGGGAGGCTCCGGGACTGAGGCGGCGCCTCCGCCTCCTGCCTGCCGTGGGAGCGCGGGCCGCCGCGGCGACATCTTGCTCAGGAGAAAAGCGTGCGGGAGAGCGAGCCGCGCTTTAGCTGCTGCGCCACGCGCGCCTCGGGCCTGGGCGCAGAGAATCCGCCGGGCACCAAGGGAAGGAGGTAAGGCCGCCCCGCGGGTCCGCACGCCTCGCTCAGGGGGCGCCTCCGGAGACCCCGGGGCCACCCGATCACCGGCCCCTCGGCTCCCCTGCCTCGCTCCTTCTCCCGCTCAGCCCCCGGATCCCGCGGTCCCCTAGGCGGGACCAGCCCGCAGCCTCCCCGCCTTCAGCCCTCGGAGCAGCCGTCCTCGGCGGCGCGCCCACCGACCTCAGCAGCTCGGGTCCCGCTCGGGCCCCGCCTCCACTGCCGGTCTAGGCCGCCCCCGCCCCCGCCCCGCCCCCGCCCCGCCCCCGCCGGGACCCGCCCCCCTGCACCCGCCCGGGCGGGGCTCCGGGTTTAAACGTCGCGGCGGGCAGGGCCGGCGGAGGGGCGGGGCGGCCTCTGTGTCGTGTCCCGGGTCCCGTAGGCGGCGGGCAGCGCGCAGCGGCTGGCGCTTGAGGCGACAGGCGGCATCATGTCCCCGGGGAGCGGGGTGAAGAGCGAGTACATGAAGCGCTACCAGGAGCCGCGCTGGGACGAGTACGGGCCGTGCTACCGCGAGCTGCTGCACTACCGCCTGGGCCGCCGGCTGCTGGAGCAGGCGCACGCGCCCTGGCTCTGGGACGACTGGGGCCCGGCCGGCTCCTCGGAGGACTCGGCATCGTCGGAGTCGTCGGGCGCCGGGGGCCCCGCGCCCCGGTGCGCCCCGCCCTCGTCCCCGCCGCCCGCGGAGCCCGCGGCCCAGGAGGAGGCGGAACGGCGGGCGCCCGGGGCCCTGGAGGAGCATGGCGCGGAGGCCGGGGGCGCGGAGGCCGAGGACGCGGAGGACGCAGCTCTGCCAGGTACTGGGCCCGGAGGGGAGCGCGAGGGGCCTGCACGGAGGAACGGTTTGCTCGAACCTGTTAGCAGCCAATCTCTATGTTTTTTCTTTTTTGAGACGGAGTCTCGCTCTGTCGCCCGGGCTGGAGTGCAATGACGCTATCTCGACTCACCGCAACCTCCGCCTCCCGGGTTCAAGCGATTCTCCTGCCTCAGTCTCCCGAGTAGCTGGGATTACAGGCTTGCACCACCATGCCTGGTTCTTTTAGTATTTTTAGTAGAGAAAAATGTTGGTCAGGCTGATCTCGAACTCCGGATCTCTCCGTGTTGGTCAGGCTGGTGGCGAACCCCGGACCTCAGGTGATTCAGCCTCCTTAAAGTGCTGGGATTACAGGCGAGCTCGAGCACCGCACCCGGCCGCCAATCTCTATTTCTTGCGCCCCTCGGGGCAGGTTCTTCCTTTCCTTCCCCCCACCCCCCGGAGGCAGAATCCGTCTCTCTTGACAAAATAAGGAAGGGGCAACCTTTGCCACCTTATATTTCCTTAATTAGGTGGCTTTCGGTTCAGCCAGCGGTGAACTCAATTGAAGCGCAGCTGGCTGAGTCCGGGGTCTATCCTCCGGGGCTTCTCCGATTTGGCTAAGCACTGAGTCCCATCTGCTTATTTCTAAGCGCCCATTTTTGATCAGAGAAGCCCCAGTTTTCATCAGATTCTCAAAGGTGACCCAAAAGGTTAAGAACCACAGAGCTAAGCTTTTTGTCTGATGAACGGGGCCATTGTTTTCCGTGTTAACTCCGCGACCTCGCTTCGCTGTCCTTATTTTGCGTTTGTTTACGTGAAGTGTTGTATAACTTGGCTGTAGGAGCATCTTTGTAAGTGCTAGGTTCTCTCCCGTTCCGTCCCACCCCATCCTCCCTCGCCCCTCCAGATCCGAAAGCGCTAGTGCTCCCGCTGCCGCGGGTGCTTCCAGCCTTGGCCCTTCAGTCTTGCCTGCTCAGAGGGTTGCAGGGCTGGGGACTGTGAGCATGTGAGGCTGGTGCCGAGGACCCAGCTGAAGCCTCAGTACAGCCTGGAGTAACCAATGGTTCCTTCCTGTTTCTGTAACGTTGACCAGACACCACCAGATCCCTGGATTTTAAAGAGGCTGGAGTGAGGAAAATAAGGAAAATGCATTGAGAGCCTGTTAGACATTCAGTCACTGATATAGGAATATGTATGTTGTCATTTAATGTTCAAAACAATCCGAAAAGAGACCATGTTTTAATATCAGTTTTATAGATGAAGAAACAGAAGCTCAGGATCAGTGACTTTATTTATTTATGTATTTTTGTTTACCCGATTGCAAGCCAATCAGACTCTTCCTGGCTTCTCTGTGAGAGGCTGAGGAGGAGATGAAATTTCGGCTCTGAGCCAGGTTGCTTTGCTCTTGGTTGTACCATCTTCAGCTATTTTCGGCTCATCATCGGAGGCAGGGTTGCCTCCTCCCACCATCATGTTACTTGTGAATCCCCACAAATCCTGATGCTTCAGTGATCACTGCTAGAAATGCAAATAACAGAAGGTGGAGGGGGTAGGGAACATGCCTTCCAGATTATTCCTGTGGGCTCTGATTTGCTAGCTAAATTGAGATGTACTTTATCAGGCTAAACGGACTTTTCTCTCCCCCATTGTTTATTGTTTGTGATGGAGCTGTCAAATATTTGCATGCAATAGAAATACAATTTTTAGGCAGCATTGTGATATGGATGGTGCCTGTGTTTACCAGCTCAGGTAAGCTCTGAGTTCATGATTATTTTGGTTTCCGTAGAGATAGCGTCCTCCCAGTTATTTCTTCCCTGCTAACGTTCTGGTTTAGCCATCAGGAAGGAGAAAGGATGTTTCTGCTTTCAGGACTCACGATAGCAGCATCTTTTGTTTTGCTCCTACCTGTAAGAGGCCCTTTGACTCCTGTGTTGTTTGCACAAGATTAAATATCCTGGCTTTTAAGTGAATGGTTTGAAATACTAGTGCAATGAGCACTCTTTTGAGTTTCTACAAGACATAAAAGCTCTTACTTCCCTAGAACCCACAGATTCACATAGAATCATGTAGTTCCGTCTGACTTGATACAAAAGCACATCAGTCCCCTGCCATACACAACACCCTGGATTTTCCTTTGGTATTTATTTCCGTATCTCCAAGTAACATGACTTTTATTGACATTTGATTGTTTTTTTCAGTTTTTAACATTATCTATTGGTTTTAGTTCTTTTTTACTGATCTCCTCACCCACACACACATGAGCCAGCTCCACACCTGCTCAATACAGTCCTCATAGAGTTTGTTGGATTCATAATTAGTATCTACCATGTTGTGCCCATGGAAAAAGTTGCTCAAAGCTGATCCATACTGTTTCCCATGATTCTCCTTTTTCTTTCACAACATAACCAACACATCAGGTTCACTATCACTCTTGCCATCTTTAGACACCCCTCCCAGGGCCCCTGACCTACTTCTGTCAGACGTGGCTGCTGCTGTTGTGGCCTGCTGGCTGGTTGGCATCTTGGAAGGGCCCTTGGCCATCCCCCTAGGACCTTTCTGGGCTTCTCTCTTGGTTTGAGTCTCTGTCGTGTGGCCCTCATGTCATCTCCTTTCTTGGTTTACCCCTTCTTGGTGGAGCACATCTTCTAGTGGCTTCCTGAGAGAGGATGGTTCAAAGGTTAGTTTTCCTCAAATGCCAGGAGATGGCTTTATTCTACCCTTACAATTTGGTGAGTGTGGCTGGGCACGGAATTCTAGTCTGTACACACTCTGGAGGCATCTCCTCCTATGTATTGTGACAGCTGATGTTACAGACCTGCATCATTCTGATTCTTGATCTGGATCTTTTGTAAGAAACGTGTTCCCCTTCAGGAAGCTTTCAGGGTCTTCTCTTTGGCCTTTGTGTTCTGACATTTTTCCTTGATCTAGATCTGTTTTCCTTTGCTTTGCTGGGCACTTGGCAGGTCTTTGTAGACAAACTCATGTTTTTAATTTTCTGCAATGATTTCATTTCTATTTTTTTCCCATTTTTTTAAGTCCTTAGTTGGATATTAGACTATCATTTTATCCTCTAATTTTCTAAGTTTTTCTTTACAGATTTTCATCTTTTGTTGTTTTGATTTCTGGGTGATATTCTCAGCTGTATTTTCTAAATTGCTTATTACATTTTCCATTTGAGGGATCCTATTATTCTTTTAAATGTAAGAGCTCTTGAATTGTTTTCTGGGCTGGCGTGCATTCTCTTCCTTCTCTCACTCCTTTCCTTCCCTTTATATTTCTTTTGAAAACATAGTATCTGGTTCCTGATTCATGCATATAGGATTTTATCTTACTGGTGATATATATTAGAAGTTTTTGTTTGTTTTCTTCTCTTCCTGTGTTTCTTCAGCACAGCCTTTCACCTCTTGCCTCTTTGATCCCTGGTTCCTCATTATTATTTAAGGGATGGGCACTAAAAAGCTATTAGGAAATCCCGTGTGTGTGTGTGTGTGTGTGTGTGTGTGTGTGTGTGTGTGTGTGTGTGTGTTGGGGTTTGGGAAGTGCTTGTGGACCATGGGAGTCTTTTCCTCCCACTGCCAATACGCTGTGAAGAGTGGTCTAGGCTGTCTCCCATTCCTTACTTCATAGTCACGTTTTCTTTTCAGGTTAGATTTTATTTTTAGCAAAGTTTACACGTGCAGTAATTTAAACAATTTTGCTTAAAATGACAAAACATGACCCTGCCGTATTTCCCACCCATGCCCCTTGCCTCTTTCAACTCCATTTCGCTTTCCTTTCAGCACTGGCCACCCTCTTTTCATTTAGACTTATCTGTTGGCTTTTTGATTGTGAACATTATCTACTGACTTCCCATTATGGGAGATGAGGATTTGGCTCAGGATTTTAGCTTTGTCTCCCCTATTCTACCCCCAGACACATACCGACCCTCATTTCTTCTCCCCCATATCCCCACAATAGTAACTGTATGATTGTTTTGTTTAATCTCTGTTCTGTATTTGAATTATGGCTGTGTAAATATTTGCAGGTGAGCCATGTAATATATTCTGATTTTTTTTTGTTAAAATTTATGGTTTTCGTAAAATTAATAATTGTTTCACTTTTTTGTTTGCTCATTTTTTTTGCTCCTACTCCAGTAATAGGATATTAAAAAATAAGCCACCTATCACTGTTTTTTATTTCTTATTTATTTTACCTATCACTAACACCTGAAATAGCCTAATAGTACCATAAAACTTGCCATATGTCAGATATATTAGGTGTTCTGTTTGTTTGATGTCTTTTTTTCCCTCGGAGACATTTTTTGTTTTTTGAGCCCTCAATCCCCTTGTTCCAGTCTAGATTTTATACTGCCTAGACCTGGCACAGCTGCTGAACTGGGCTTTCTTTACCATTTCCCTCCTTTAGGTGATCCCCTGCCGTGCACATCTGGGTCTTCCTTTTGCCTGGCTGATTTCTTCCTTTTGATTAAGCACATCCTCTGTAGAGCCTGTAAAATACTGCATGGGAATTAGAAATTTTATACCTTGCATATCTGAAAATGCCTTTATTATATCAGGATTGATATTTTGTCAAGGTAGATAATTCTCGATTGGAAACCTCAGCATTTGAAGGCATTATGATTACACTGAATCCTAGCCTCGGGTCGTAGTCTTGAGAAGTGCCATGCCATTCTGACACCTGCTTTGTGTATGTGACTCGCCCCCCCCCCATATTTGTTTTCATTTCGTTTCGTTGGAAGCTTTTGGGAAGATTCTTTTTATCCTAGATGTTCTAAAATTTTATGATGTGCCTGTGTGTGTCTTTTTTCATTCATTTGGCTGGGCCTTTTCATTCTGGAAGCTTCTCTCAGTTCAGTGATAGTTCCTATTTTTCTGTTTAAAAATAATTTTCGCTGCTCCATATGCTTTATTTTCTTTTTCTATAATTATCCTTAGTTGGATGGTGTACCTCCTGGATCAGACCTCTAACATTTTTACTTAAAAATGTTTCAACATTGGAATTTGGAATTTTTGGTTCTATTTTTTGGGAGAACCCTTCATTTTTATCTTTCAATATTTCTATTGAAATTTTAAATTCTCACCTTAGTTTTAAATTCCCAAGAGATCATCTATTTCTGGTCTCTAATGTTCTTTACATTAAAAAAAAAAATAGCATTCTGTTTTCAGATTTCTTTTAACCTACAAAGAAAAAAGAAAGCCAGAAATATCTTTTCGGAGCTGCCTTCCATTCCCTGCCTTGTCTTTTTCTGCATAGTTTTCTTCCTTACTAACAAGAGGATGTACTCAGATGTTTGCTCTTAGCCTGTCTGCTCATGTTTAAGAGTAAGGCCTGAAAGAGACTTTCAGGAGCTCTGTGCATGGGGGATACCTGTTTTCTGTAATTGGATGAGGACCCAGCTGTTCCTCTGGGGACTCCAAACATGTACACCTGCCAGCATCTGTTGAGTGAGCTGCCCAGACAGTGCATCTGCAGCCTCCTGTCTCCTGGGCAATAAGCCTGGCACCAGCATCCTGGGAACAGGGATGGAGGAAAGCGCTGAGAGAGGTCTCCTTCTTTACCGTGAGGTCTTTCAGCTCATTCTGTTTTCAGGAAGCTGTTACCCTTGGCTTCTGCTGTCCCTAGGGTCATCTCAAGTGCAAGCCTACCCTGCTTCTGCCACTCAAGACTGAAATCCACACACCTTTTGGGTTGAAGAGGGGCGACCACCTGGCATATGATCTAGGGGAAATAATGTAAAAGAAGTATCAATTGCTGTGTAATAAAATTACCTTGAAAATCAGTAGCTTAAAACTAGTAAAAACAGTTGTCCCTTGGTAGCTGTGAGAGATTGTTTCCAAGACACCCCCATGGATACCAAAATCTGTGGATATTCAAGTCCCTATATAAAATGGTGTAGTATTTGCATATAACCTGTGCACATCCTCCTGTATACTTTAAATCATCTCTAGATTACTTATAATAGCTAATACAATTAAATACTAGGTAAATAGTTATCCTGTATTTTTAATTTATATTACTTTTTTGTTGTATTATTTTTTATTTATTAATTGAAAATATTCCCAAATATTTTCAATTCATGGTTGAATGAGCACGCAGATGCAGAACCTCTGGATATGGAGGCCCCCCACCTGCTGACCTCCTTTGCTGGTGCTATGGTTTTCTGGGCTGGAAGTTGGCCCTGGGCAGTGAGACACCTTGTCTACAGCCTCTACTGGGAGGCTCCAGGCTGGAGGGGCCCGGCTGGGCTGTTGCTGGGACTCTCACATGCATGGCCTCCTCCTGTGCCTGGCCTTCCTCAGAACACACTGGCTGGTCTGTAAGGACAGCGTCCGGAGACAGACCGAGAGGATACTGCATTGCTTTTTCTCTTTTATCCTCAGGAGCTCTGCAGGCCCTTCCTCACCCATTCTACCCTCACTGGGGAAGTTATTATTTGGTGCAAAAGTAATTGCGGGTTTTGCCATTACTTTCAATGGCACAAAGCCCAGGTTCAAGGCAAGGGCCCATGGATCCCAACTTTCAATGGAGCACATCCATATTATAGTCAGAAGAGCACAAAGGCTGGGGTGCTGATTGATGCCGAACTTCTGGAAAAGATGATCCACTTCACTAGCCTTCTGAGGAAGCTGGCGCCTCATACAACTCTTTAATTTTTTTTTTTTTTTTTTGAGACAGGGTCTCAGTCTGTTGCCCAGGCTGAAGTGCAGTGGCATGATCTAAGCTCACTGCAGAATTGACCTCCCAGGTTCAAGTGATCCTCCAGCCTCTGCCTCCTGAGTAGCTGGGACCACAGGCGTGCATCACCATACCTATTTTTCCCATTTTTAATTTATAGTAGAGATGAGGTCTCACTATGTTGCCTAGCTGGTCGTAAACTCCTGAGCTCAAGAAATCCTCCCATCTTGGCCTTCCAAAGTGCTGGGATGATAGGCGTGAGCCACCACACCTGGCTCATATGACTCTTTCTAGGGCCCAGCTTCTATCCTGGAGGCATTTCCCCTCTGGCAGTTAGGATTCATCCTGCTCAGTTCTGTGAGGCCATTTTTACCTCTTCACCTCCTTTTCTTTTCTCCAAATTTTATTGATGCCTTTTGCCTGATGTCATCACCTCCCTTGCTCTCTGTCCTTGTGGCTTTATACCTTTTTTCCTTCACTTTAGTAGGATTTGGGGAGGAAGAGACAGTAAACTTTAAGGGACTAGGAAGCACAGGTTTTCAGTGTATATTTAACCTGAACCTTCCAATTTGCTATATTTTTTAAACTTATTTTTATTTTTACTTTTTTTTTCTGTTCCTTGATCACACTTGCCAGAGGTTTGTGAATTGGTTTAGTTTTTCCCCATGCTGAGGATTTGTGAATTCTCTTTATGGTATATTTTCTTATTATCTTTTTTCCTTACTTTAATTTTCTTTGGGTTTATTTTGCTCTTTTCTAACTTTTTGAAATGGATGCTTATTATTGATTTTTTTGTCCTCTGTTTTTTTCTCTTTTGATATATTCATTTTAGGCTATAAATTTCCCTCTGATAACTGCTTTAGCTGCATCATGTATGTTTTGCCATGTAACATTTTTACTCAAACTCATTTTCTAATTTTCATTATAATTTTTAAAAATAGTCACAAAAAATTATAAAATTTAACATTTATGTGTAGTATCCACATAAGGAAGCAAACCTGACGAAAACAAGCAATGGGGAAAGGATTCCCTGTTTAATAAATGGTGTTGGGAAAATTGGCTAGCCATGTGCAGAAAGCAGAAAGTGGACCCCTTCCTGACACCTTACACTAAAATTAACTCCAGATGGATTAAAGACTTAAACGTAAGACCTAACACCATAAAAACCCTAGAAGAAAACCTAGGCAAAACCATTCAGGACATAGGCATAGGCAAGGACTTCATGACTAAAACAGCAAAAGCATTGGCAACAAAAGCTAAAATAGACAAATAGGATCTAATTAAACTCCAGAACTTTTGTACAGCAAAAGAAACAATTATTAGAGTGAACTGGCAACCAACAGAATGGGAAAAAATTTTTGCAATCTACCCATCTGACAAAGGGCTAATATCCAGAATCTACAAAGAACTAAAACAGATTTACAAGAAAAAAAAACAAACAAACCCATTCAAAAGTGAGCAAAGGATATGAATAGACACTTTTCAAAAGAAGACAAATATGTGGCCAACAAACATATGAAGAAATGCTCATCATCACTAGTCATTAGAGAAATGCAAATCAAAACTACATTGAGATACCATCTCATGCCAGTTAGAATGGCGATCATTAAAAAATCTGGGGACAACAGATGCTGGAGAGGATGTGGAGAAATAAGAACACTTTTACACTGTTGGTGGGAGTGTAAATTAGTTCAACCATTGTGGAAGACAGTGTGGCAATTCCTCAAGGACCTAGAAATAGAAATTCCATTTGACCCAGCAATCCCATTACTGGGTGTATATCCAAAGTATTATAAATCGTTCTTTTATAAAGACACATGCACACATATGTTCATTTTGGCACTGTTTACAATAGCAGAGACCTGGAACCAACCCAAATGCCCATCGATGATAGACTGGACGGGGAAAATGTGGCACATATACACCATGGAATACTATGCAGCCATAAAAAACAATGAGTTCGTGTCCTTTGTAGGGACATGGATGAATCTGGAAACCGTCATTCTCAGCAAACTGACACAAGAACAGAAAATCAAACACTGCATCTTCTCACTCATAGGCAGGTGTCGAACAATGAGAACACATGGGCCCAGGGAGGGGAGCATCACACATTGGGGACTATTGGAGGGGACTAGGGGAGGGACGGGGGGTAGGGAGGTTGGGGAGGGATAACTTGGGGAGAAATGCCAGATATAGGTGATGGGGGGATGGAGGCAGGAAATCACATTGCCATGTGTGTACCTATGCAACAATCCTGCATGATGTGCACATGTACCCCAGAACCTAAAATGCAATAAAACATATATATATATTTAAAAAAAAGAAGAAAAGAAAACATATATTCCAGCCTGGTCAACATGGCGAAAAATATAAAAATTAGCAGGGTGTGGTGGCGCACACCTGTCATTCCAGCTATTTGGGTGGCTGAGACACAAGAATCACCTGAACTCAGGAGGTGGCAGTTGCAGCGAGCTGATATTATGCCATTGCACTCCAGCCTGGGTGGCAGAGTGAGACTCTGTTTCAAAACCAACCAACCAACCAACAAAAAAACCCTAATGCAAACGGTGTACTCAATGAGGAAATGAGAAATGTTCCCAATGATACCAGAATTAAGAAAGGAATGTCCTCTGCCGGGCACGATGGCTCACACCTGCAGTCCCACCACTTTGGGAGGATGAGGCAGGTGGATCATGAGGTCAGGAGTTTAAGACTAGCCTGGGTGACAGAGTCAGATTCTGTCAAAAAAAAAAAAAAAAAGAAAGAAAGGAAGGAAGGAAGGAAAGAAAGAAGAAGGGAGGGAGGAAGGAAAGAAAGAAGAAGGGAGGGAGGAAGGAAGAAGGGAGGGAAGGAAGGAAAGGAAGGAAGGAAGGAAGGAAGAAAGAAGGCCCTCTATTACCACTACTTGGAATTTTGAAAAATGGTGCTGAAATACACATAACACATGTTATTATTTTAACCACTTTTAAAATTAATTATTATTATTTTTTGTGATGGAATCTCATTCTGTCACCCAGGCTGGACTGTAGTGGTGTGATCTTGGCTCACTGCAACCTCTGCCTCCCAGGTTCAAGTGATCCTCCCACCTCAGCCTCTGGAGTAGCTAGGCCCACAGGCATGTGCCACCACGCCCAGCTAATTTTTTGTATTTTTAGTAGATACAGAGTTTCACCATCTTGGCCAGGCTGGTCTTGAACTCCTGATCTCATGATCCACCCATCTTAGCCTTCCAAAGTGCTGGGATTACAGGCATGAGCCATGTGCCTGGCCTTATTAATTTATTTTTGAGACAGGGTCTTCCTCTGTCAGCCAGGCTGGAGTGCAGTGGCACAATCATCATTCACTGCAGCCTCACCTCCTGGGCTCAAGAATCCTCCCAGCTCAGCCTCCCAAGTAGCTGGGACCATAGTTGTGTGCCACCGTGCTTGGCTCACTAAGAAAAAAATATTGTATCGGGGGTACTGGGCACAGTAGCTTATGCCTGTAATCCCAGCACTTTGGGAGGCTGAGGCGGGCAGATCACTTGAGCCCAGGGGTTCAAGATCAGCCTAGGAAACATGGCAGAACCCTGTCTCTACCAAAAAATACAAAAATTAGTTGGGTGTGATGGTGTGCACTTGTAGTCCCAGCTACTTAGGAGGCTGAAGTGTGAGGATTGCTTAACTCTGGGAGGTAGAGGTTGCAGTGAGCCAGTATTATGCTACTGCACTCCAGCCTGGGCAACAGAGTGAGACCCTGTATGAAAAAATTTTTTTTTCTTTTTGGTAGAGACAGGATTTTTCTATGCTGGCCAGGCTGGTCTCAAACTCCTGGGCTCAAGTGATTCCCCTGCCTCAGCCTCCCAAAGTACTGGGATTACAGGTGTGAGCTACTGCTCCTAGCCTCCTTTAACTAATTCAAAGTGTACAGCTTGGCCAGGTCCAGCACTTTAGGAGGCCGAGGCAGGCGGATCACTTGAGGTTAGGAGTTTGAGACCAGCCTGGCCAACATGGTGAAACCCCATCTCTACTAAAAAATACAAGAAATTAGCCAGGCATGGTGGCTTGTGCCTGTAGTCACAGCTACTGGGGAGGCTGAGGCAGGAGAATTGTTTGAACCTGGGAGGTGGAGGTTGCAGTGAGCTGAGATCGCACCACTGCACTCCAGCCTGAGCAACAGAGTGGGACTCCTTCTCAGAAAAATGAAAATAAAATAAATAAAGCACACAGCTCAGTGGCATTAAGTACCTTCACATTTTTGTGCAACCACATTTTCATTTTGATCTATAGGTTATTTAGAAATGGTTTTAAGTTTTGAAACTGGGAGGGATTTTTAGAAGTTTTTTTGTGTATCTAGTTTAATTACATTGTGGTTAGAGAATACATTTTATATAATTTCAATTGTAAACATATTAAGATTTCTTTATGGCCTTGGATATGCAGATTCTTATAAATGTTCCGTATATGCTTTATAAGGGTTTATATTCTGCAGTTGTTGGGTGCAGTGTTCTATATACATCTATTCGGTCAAGTTTATTAATTCTGTTTAAATGCATTTAAAACATCAGACTCTTCCGTACAGCTCTCTCTATGATGATGGGCATGTTCTCCATCCACACTGTTTACCAGGGTAGCCACTGGCCACATGTGGTTACTGAGCACTTGAACAATAACTAGTGTAACTGAGGAACAGAATCTTTAATTTTATTTACTCTTCATTAAAATTTAGGCCAGGCATGGTAGCTCATGCCTGTAATTTCAGCACTTTGGGAGGCTGAGGTGGGCGGATCAAAAGGTTGAGAACTCAAGACCATCCTGGTCAACATGGTGAAACCCCATCTCTACTAAAAATACAAACATTAGCTGGGTGTGGTGGCGCGCGCCTGTAGTCCCAGCTACTCGGGAGGCTGAGGCAGGAGAATCGCTTGAAGCCAGGAGGTGGAGGTTGCAGTGAGCTGAGATTATGCCACTGCACTCCAGCCAGATGACAAAGTGAGACTCATCTCAAAAAAAAAAAAAATTTAGTAACTACATGTGGCTCATGGCTATT